GGTCGTGCGATGATCCCTGTCGGGAGGTGCGGTGCGGTATCTACGCGTGCGTACAAAACAGCTTCTCCATTGGGCCGGAAAATCTCATATGATGTGCATATTGCATTGACGTGGTCCTGTGGGGAAATTTAATCACATCTGGACAATGTTCATTCCATAGATGGCTGAAAGTAGTTAGATAAGAGCAGATTTGGCAGGAGCGCGTAGATGACAGGTGCGTGAGTTAGATTGTGCTTGATGAAGCTGTTGAAAGCTCTGTGACTGACATGAGAACTGAATGCGTGCTCTGATGAAATTCGGATTTAACTGGAGTGCAAAGTTTCATACATTTTTTTCTCTCTGGACTTCAACCCGACACAAAAAGCTGGTCACAAACAAAGAAGTATTGAGCCAAATTGCTAAAAGACCAGATCTCCCAGGTGTTCAACGAAGTGTGCCTCACCACTTCAGGTCAGCTATGGAAGCGCCTGGGTGGATCCCTGTCAGCTATCGTCACTGTCACAGTGTGTTGTGCAGATGATGATGCGTGTGCTGATGATGACAGCCTGGTGACGCGTGTGCTGCAGACCGTGGTCAGCTGCCAAAGGTAACCGCAACACGACTGTCAGCAGCGGGCACGAAACAACCGCTGACCAGCGCGCAACAAACAAGCTTCGATTGAGGTTGTCATCTCCAACAAGGTCTTGACGTGCGGTAGGCCTGAGCGGGCGACGCGCTATCAGGTCCGATTGCCAGCCACTATCTGCTGAAGTAGCGTCAGTGCTGATAGCGACGTGTGCTGACCCTCTTCTCGAGCGATGTTTGCCAGAATCAGATACGTAACGCCTCGGATTGTGTTTGAACTTGGTGTGGTGCAACATGGCTGATAAGCCCAGGAGGTCACTTGCTGTCTGCCTCTGTATACCTGCCATCTGATGCAGAGGTTCTGCGTATCGGTATTCTTGAATCGCCCACGGATGTCATGGCCCAACCAGACGCTTCTGCTGTCTGTTTATCCAAGATCCTCCGGATGCTTCTTGACACTTACGCAGCACCTAAGATCTGTGAAGAACACCCAAGGTCTGGAGAGGGCCTAACGATCGCTGTAGTTTCGAGGACGCCGCACGGAGCTGGCCGCGAATGTGCGTCGCCGGGTCCTGATAGTCGTGCGCGAGGTGCCTCAGCGACAGCAGAGCAGTCAAAAACATTTGAACTTTGATGTGGATATAAACGTTAACAGTTGGGAAACAGCAATGCTGAAGCTCAAAATTGGAGTATGACTGAATACGTTCATATCGACAGCGCCATCATATATTAATATATATACATATATATATATATATATATTATATATATATATATAATATATATATATTATTAATATATATATATATATAATACATATCTATATATATGATATATATATATATATCTCGATATATATGATGCGCCTGTCGATATATATATATATATATATATATATATATATGATGCGCCTTACTATATATATATATATATATATATATATATAGTATATATATATATATATATATATATGATGCGCCTGTCGATATATCTCTCTCTATCTCTCTGACTTCTCTCTCTCTCTCTCTCTCTCGCTCTCTCTCTCTCTCTATCTCTCTATCTCTCTCTCTCTCTCTCTCTCTCTCTCTCTCTCTCTCTCGTCTCTCCCTCTCTGCTCTCTCTCTATCATGTGTGGGTTGGTGTGTTGTGTGTTCTGTGTGCATATAATGTTAACTATTACGCACATGGTATCTGTTATATTTGCCCACAGAGACAGCGATGTGGACCGCACAGAGATTTGGGCACGCATGAATAACAACTTACACGCTATAGGCATGGTTCAAGGAGCAAAAACAGCAGGACGTCCTGTGGAGCCGAGAAAGATCCGGGCTTAATCCATTTATATATGTAAGGCGAAGGTACAGACCTGTCTTGAACAAATTGCGTGGATCGATCACCAAGTTTTAGCTTAACCCTTCGCTTTAGACAAAGTTGGGGGTCTCACGTAGTGCCGATGGTTCGAGCAGCCTTCGTAAAAATTACTACACCGCCATCTGACTGAGTGTTTCGGTCGTTATTCTTAATGGCTTTGGGGGTTTAACGGCATTTTCTTAACCAACATTTAGATGCCATTTTTCTAAACAGACTTGAATACATTTTAGTCATAAGCCCGTAACAAACACATCGGGCGTTTCAAGCGTCTGCTGACTACGCCTAGCATGGCATCTTTCGGATAATTGTTTCATGTTTGATGCTCAATTAAGTGATCAGCATTGCCTATTGAGCTTTTGTATTCACTAGCTGGAACTAACTGCACTAACTCCTTGTCACCCGACCGTCCGTTTCCCTGCCGTTTCAAGTTTACGATCGGGTATTATGTATCGTTCGGGTGTGTCGTACCTCGTACACTTATGTTTATGCTGGTTCCCGCAGCCGTGTCCCGGCGATTCGGACGACTGAGTTTAGCAAGTGGCACCGGGGTTAAAATTAGGCACCGGGGTTTAAATTCCAGAGATGACTGATTGAGCTGGCAAATGTCAGTTGACGGGAGGTGAGGGGATTTCCACGGCCGTATCTCGAGATTATGTGGCAGCACTGGATGGTACGCGGAGGCTCTCCGGGCAGGTGCAGGCAAAATGATGTGTTGAATTAGGCGAAACGACAGTCTCAGAAGGTTATCGGTATAAGACGTTCAGACTGAACAAAAAACCTAGAAAATGAAAATCATGCATGCAGATAAAATAAACACAAATGTAGTTCCGACAAAGACTCTTTGTCGGAATTACATTTTACTACAGAGATCTCGTGGCAGCACAAGATCACCACCTAAAGACAATAATAAAGGGGAAACAAACTTCTTCAAAAACGTTATTAGTGTGTGACCAGCAAACCTAGTCTTTTGTCTCTGTCCCCTTGTGACAGAGACAAAGACAACCTTGCAAGGCGCTGAATCGTGGAATCCCTGCAGAAGCGTTCCGATAAGCACATTACCCGAACTGTGCAGCATTTGCAGCGCTTGGTGCTGCGCTATTCCAAGCGCCCCTGCTCCAGCGCCCACCTAATGAAAACATGTCTCTCAGAAGCGAGAACTTTTCACAAAATGACTCTCGTAAACTCTTCCTTTCTGATCGCCGCTGTTGGCTGTGGCTGTTGCCGGCACGTGCTCGGACGTCCTGGTATACTCTCATGGTAACGGACTTTAAATGAGAGAACTGCACGGCCGACGCATAAAGAGCTATTGCAGACCATTCGGTCGTGTGACGCGGAGTTCTCGCAGATAATTCGGTGATGTGACCAGAGTTCTCGCAGATGATTCGGTGGTGTGACCAAAGTTATTGCAGATAATTTGGTCGTGTGAGTTAGGGGTAAAAAGTGTCTTTTCTGCCATCGACAAAACTGGAACACCCTAAATTGAAACCTGAACCCAAATCTAGCAGAGATCATTGCAACATAACTATATATACGGTAAGCCGTTCAAAACAAAGATAAATGAGGTGGAGTGGGTCACAATCATCATCAATATTTTTGTTTCGGGAGGCTCATGTGGACATGAGTGTCCGACGCAGCGGGCTTAAGGCTAGTGAGCATATCGGTTCGGTTCAAACCTAAGACGTCGCGTGTAAGGAGAAATACGAGAACGCGTTTGGTCATCGACTCCATTACGACCATAAATGGTACAAAACAGATCCCATGCACTATCTCACGACGCGCTGGGGCAATATACGTGTTAGAGAAATAGCTCTTACAGGGTTTAATTCATTCATAAAAAATCACTCCTTACCATTTTGCGATCATTTGTATACTACTTTTAAAGTCACATCCTACGTTACTTTGAGTTGAGATTTTCACGTTGTTGCACATCACAGCTATGGCCTTTGTCTATAACTGCAGTGTCTGAAATGAAATTTGAGAATTCTCCATGAAGCCCAAAACTCCGATTTCTAGCATTTACAATCCGGGCCGTGGAAGTCTTTATTCCCTAATCCAGGAGCGCCAATCAGAAATTCAACACTGGATAGCCTGTTTCATGGCCCGAGTTACATGAATGGGGGGTCGATGCCCGCGTACGAGCAGTGCCTAGCGAGATTGCTTAACGGCTTAGTCAGAATTAAATTTGTCAAAATCGGCTGGAGATGAAAATGTTTGAGGATGCTCCAACAAGCACCCGCGTGTAACAGCTGTCCAAGACCTCCCCACTTCATGATTGCGAGGGGATTTTCTGTTTATTGTGACATTTGGTTTTCAATAGATTTAGGAAATGTGTGCCTCCACGTTTCACAAGGCAAACGGTGGGGAGCTGCGCGTTGCAGGTGCGAGTAAGCACTAGCGGTGACTTTGTGTGTTAAGCTATGTATATTAAGTATTAAGCCTTCAACATAAGCGATGGGTAGCGGTGAGTAGTCCAGGTGAACATTTGTCGGCTGAGCTCCGCATAGGGGCTGAGCTACGTTGCCATTTTTGAAGTCACCCCGAGATTTGTAAACCCCGGTCCGATAACGTTGACTTATAGCGCCACCTATGTATACCCGTTTTGGCCGACCTCTCAACAGATGTCACATTGCGACATTGGCGCAGTTGGTTTAAGCCTTGCATTTCGCTCCTGGAACGGCATTGTATATAACTTAATGCATTAGTTGAGCAGAGATATGGCATCTCAGTTTTGTTGCCATTGTGAACTCTATTAATAGCAGCAATGGAGAGCAAAACACTTGAGTTCATCACTGCGGAAGTCGGTGCGGTGAAGATTGTTTTCCAGGCGCTTATCGCACTTTTGATGTTTTACTTGCATCAATAATCAGCAAAAGTGTAACCATCTGTCGGTACCTGCACTATTTATTACAAAGCAGCACACATGCTTCCAGCCGATAAAACACCAACGTCAAACATGCGCTGGAAGACTAGATGTGATGTGTAACACCGAGCACGCCGGATTAAGACGTTCAACAGAACAAACATGTACCTAACCGCGCACAAAATAAAGCAAACAAACGGCCAGATCCACGTCCATGGCTAGCTCCCGGGCCTCGCCACGGGAGTTACACCATACAGGCTACGTCACTCAAAGATGACAACCATCAGGCGACTGGACGGCGGGTATGAAAGACACGTGGTGTTCCGACAGTCGCGTACGATTCAGTTGTAGGCAGGCTTGTACGGCAGGTAAGGCCGGGGCGCATATGGGGCCGGCTTCTCGTAAGCCGCTGACTTAGGTCCGTGGTTGTACTCGAAGTAGTGTTCGCCATGGCCGCCCACGTAGTCGCCCCAGGTCATCTGCAGGAGCAGAGGCCATGGTATTAAGACTTGCTGCACATGTTGCCCAGTGATCTCGCTGCACAACACGAGGACAAAATCAGTACACAGATGGCGATAAAGCGATGAACCTCAACATCGACATCAAAAGCGGCAGCAGCAGGTGCTGCAGCAAGAGGACAAGCAACGCACGTCACGCCGCGGTGTTCGACATTGAGGCGCAATACAACATAGCCCGGTGATACAACCGACGATGGCGTTCAGTGCCTCTCACTGCCGCTCTGGCCGGACAGTGACGGAGGATATAGCAGATAACAAGCCCTCACTACATACAATACAACCGACGATGGCGTTCAGTGCCTCTCACTGCCGCTCTGGCCGGACAGTGACGGAGGATATAGCAGATAACAAGCCCTCACTAAGAAACGCAGAGGCCTAGAAAGGGGGTTACCTTGGCTTGGAAGGTGTGGTCCTTGTTCCTTTGGTGATGAGTACGGAAGTGCTGCGGGTTGCCTCTGTTGTACCCGTGCTCGTACTCTTTTGCACCCTTGACGTTGGCGTACTGGAAGTAGCCTCTGTTGTAGTCTTTTTGTGCCACGGCACAGGCAACCAGGACGCTTAGGAGCAACGCGTACTTCATAGCTGGGAAAACAAAAACAACGTGCGTACACACATAAGCATACATCCCAACATAGCATGCAACATAAACAAAACAAACATGTGGCCGACTGTGGATTAAAGGCTCATAGTTTTGGTTGACTAGTGTTCTCCGAAACTGGCTTGAAAGATCGGCCACAAACGGGGGTCGGCCATATCAGCGCAGAGCAATGAAAGACCAACACCAATGCACTGGCGCTTGACCTTCTGTCTAGATGCCTGTGAAATATATATTCGTGCAGGGGGCTGCACTCATTTCGGGCGTTACGCAGAGTAATCTGCCACTGGTCATCTGGCAGAGGCCGAGAGTTTCACCGTCTGCAAAAGACCGTGTACCCGACCGATGACAAGGCACGCCACCGCCTCCGGCTGTGTGAGAACACCAGCACCCCGGACCGGCACCTCCTCAGGGCTCGCGGGTGCTTCCGGTTTGCTTGCCCAGCATGACGAACTGGCCTGAGCTTCCGCGACGTTGAGCATCGCTCTCAAATCCCGAATTATCATTCGACTGGCACATGGGTCACTGGTGCACGAATAAGCAATTTTTTGCAGCGATCTCCACCTCGGGTGCCAACAGCTGAATCCGAAACCTCAGGGTTCGGATTCGTACCGGAGTCCGCGGTCTGGAGCCGCAGCTCGTAGCTGATGTGCGGAAGAGGCCATATCCGGGCGCTCTAGTCTGGTCTGCCAAGCTCCGAGGACATCGTGAACTTGGACATCACCCGTTCGCACAGCAGCTCGTGCTTTGGCACAGCCTGGGTTTCTGGCTGGACTGTGTGATGTCCTGGGACTGGGCGTTGGGAAGGGCAGCTTAATTACACCAACAGTGTGTACAACTAAACCGAACGCAGGCACCAACGGCACGTACACATGCACCCAGACGCATCAACAGACACATCTGTATCCATGCCAACATCAGTGTGGCAGCAGATGTCAACCGGGCATGCGATAGGGCAGACATCGCGGAGAGACACCTACTGCGGCAACGAATCGAGAGCCAAAGCCAGTCAGCTGCGTTGGTGAAGTGCTGTGCAGACACTGTGCTCGTCCAGCGGCCAACCGGCGACTTTATAGCGCGCCGCCCTTCTCGGCTGCGCTCGACGCTGTCCCGGTGGTGTGGGCCGGGCCCGGGCGCTTTCACCGGTCCGTTGCCAGGCTCGCCGGTCCCCCACACGCAGGGCGACGGAGCGTCCCTGTCGCCCCCGGACCAGGCGGACTGAGACCCGGCCGGCGGTCAGAGCAGCTGGCTCGGCCGGCGCGCCGCTGGAGCTAGTTGGTCGGAGGTCAGTGGGAGCGTTGTAATTGCTGAGCCCGTCGGCGATGTCGGCAGATGATTTTGAAGGGAAGGCGGGGTGCAATGTCGGTCAATACCAATCACGATCAGCAAAGCTCAGCGCCGGATTTGAATGATAATTGCTTGAACATTTAAGTGTGAAGTGGCAATCTGAATGTAAGGGGTTAACTTGAACAAATTAGATGAAAATGGAATAGTCTAAAATGGAATTAGTTCAACCCTGTAGATTAAACACTCTCAGCCCTTGAAATCTGTAGGTTTAATCCTGGACTAAGAAATAATGTTTTGCTGCATTTCAGTTAGGTTAGTCAAAAGGCTCACAATATTTAATCGCCCGAGACCTATCCATGCTGTATTTTGCTGTAAATCATATGAAAGCCCTTTGACCATGTTTACTCACACACGATGTAGCTACAGATGTTGTAACACATTGATGTTTGTAACACCATGTAACACATCGGCTGAATAGATTGCGCAGCACAAGGGTTTTCGCCGTTGCTTAAGGAACAAGACAAATTCGGATTAACATTCAGTATTGCAGACTTTTTGGAATCCACCTGCACTTAAGATACTGCTTTGGCCGATTTGACCGCAGAGTCCAGCGACCGGTAGCAGCCGCGACTGGGCAAAAAAATGTTCACCCCGTGCACAAAGAAAGCCCCAAACAACGCCCATGATAATGAGGAGAAGGCGTTATTTGCACAAGTTAGTCGCTTGGCTGTTTATACTACCACCAAAGGCAACCGACCGCATCACCCGTAAGCGTTAGGTCAGCGTCAACGTTACTGTTAGGCCAAGCTAGGCTATGTGAAACCTGTGGGAAAAGGTCGACGATCTTCGCGTTGGTTCCAACGCTCCTTTTCAACAGGTTCAGAACTCCAATTTTCTGGTTATGGGCACCAACCATCAGTTGTTGTTGATATAATAAAGTGGAGAAGTCTCGACATTGAAAAATTGTTGCATTACTGAGCCAATTGGATGCCATCTCGCAGACGCCATTAAACAGGACTACAGCCTTAAGTCCCTTACAACAGTCAGAATGTACCGAAAAACCTATCACTGATGTGCGTGTGAGTGTTCCTTGCTGCTTGGTGAGATGTGTGCAAATCATTTTACAGACGGGACAAGATCGGGCTCCAATGTACCGTGGTGTGGACGTGGCACTCGCCTCCAGTTATCCGGTGGACCATGTTAGCGCACGGACAAACGCCCTCGGCAGCGATAAACAGAAACTTCTGGTACGCACTATCTGCCCGATATTGGTTGAACCCGCACGGATGATGCACTGTCAAAGTTCGCAAGGATGGCCTCGTTTCTGCTCATGTGGCAATAATCCAGGCCTGTATAAGTGATGCCTCGGAGCCTGTCGATGTACTTGCTGGGGCAGAATTGTGACGTCAGCGAGCCTGCGGGCTGCCGGCGTTGCACCACGGGGACGCCAAACTGTTCGTCCGCCGTATTGGCAATTCAGTCAAGATTGACTGCTAGCGTTGGTTTGCCGCAAGCCTTGAGACAGTGCAGGGACACGGCTCAAATTAGATCGCTCGTGAGCCTCCGTTCAGTCTCTCTGCATCCTATTGTCAGCTCCCACATTAACACCGTGAGGAAAACCCTGTGGCTGTCTCGGCGCAATGCACGCGTTCAAAATCAAACGCGTATTGGATTTCATCCGAAAAACGACAGTCGCAGAGGTCTGAACACGATTTTTTCTGCTTTGGCCCGAAGAACAGCATTTGGTATTTAACGCGTATTGCCTCAATTCTAAGAAGGATGCTTGATTCGTTCGCGGCGAATTCGATTGCGACTATGGCCCATGACCATTAAAGCTGACGACAGCTCTGCTTTCACCTCCGGGCAGCGATGTAAGTCGATCTTAACACAGACCACAGAAGTCGTCCCGAATTTTATCCTCTGGGGCTCATTCCAGAGAGATCGGTAACATTGACAGCAGCTCCTTATGCAGCCCAGTATATCATACATTGGTGCACGCAATGCAGAGGCGTGAAGGACATCGCGTTTTTTATTTTTCTTGGAGGGAAAATGGGGATGTCTCTCATGTTTTGCGTACAATGGTGCACTGAAGACCCTATTTGGGCGCACTGAAAACATGCGGAATGTGTTTCATGACATACAAGAATGTTGCATGTTCTCAATAGCGTTGCCTATCTGAACCTGCTTGAGGTTTTTAGCTGCACACATTTACTCACACGCATATTAATTCATGCGGAATTTGATTACGAGACGTGTGTGCTCCCCTAAAAAAACCTGTTAAGTGTGCAACCTATATATATATATATATATATATATATATATATATATATATATATATATATATATCTCTCTCTCTCTCTCTCCTCTCTCTCTCTCCTCTCTTCTCTCTCTCTCTCTCTCTTCTCTCTCTCTCTCTCTCTCCTCTCTCTTCTCTCTCTCTCTCTCTCTCTCTCTCTCTCTCTCTCTCTCTCTCTCTCTCTCTCTCTCTCTCTCTCTCTCTCATTTTATATGGACGAAAAAACCGCATGACTTCATGGCTTCGACTCGCGCCGTCACGTAAGGCCGTCAGGCGCAGGAGCTCACATCTGTCATGGTTTGTGTTCGTGCCATGTGGAACAAATACGTCGTACAGAAGCCTCAATTTTGCATTCAGCCTTCTATAACTGTTAGTAGGAGCTTGCTCGCACAGGGGCAATGAAAGTGTTCCCAACTTACGGACCCGATAACCCATTTTTTCTCATTTTATCCAGTCAAACACCTCAAATGGACATATCAAATTTTCAGTAAGATGTGTGATCAGTCAAACTCTTGCAATTTTGAGGCAAATTGTTCCAATAGCGTGCTTTCTATAGGTCCAAACCATTCAGACACCGCTCCGGCATGGCAAGATACTTTCCATACAGCGTTCATTCAATTTGTTTCAAGAAGAGCAAATTGTGTTATAGCAGGGTAAACGGTGTAAATGCATAACCATGCTTCGTTTCGAGAAAAAAAACGGGTGACAAATTTCGTGATTTTTTCCAATGACTCCATGCCGGTCTTCAAATGCGGTCAAAAATCAAGCCCATCTTTTGAGAATACCTCATCCAGTCCGCCGAGTTCATTCACTCATCGTATGGTTTTATTGCATCATTTATTTGTAGAGATATCCTACTTTTTCTCTCGTCTCATAAACGACAACACCTTGCGAATTCTGAAAAGAGTGCGTTCTGATTAAAGGGACCCTCAAAGGGGTTCACTGTACGTGGATGGGAAAATGCGGTTCTCAGTTCTCCAGTGATGGGCAGTGATAGGCATAGCATTCAGTATGGTTCAGTTTGGGTAACGCTCAATAAAACATTAACGGATCCTGATCTGCCTTCGTACATAGTTTGTGTATTTGGGGTGCAGTTTCTTATTCATTTGGGAGGCTCCAGAACCCCCCTCCCCCCCTTCAACTTGAGCCCTAGCCCTCACCCCGAACTTTGAAAAGAAAGTGGGCCAAACCGGGGAGAAACGCGTTTGGTGGATATTTGTGAGAGGTGGGTTGGAGGGGGACGGGGGTAGGGTGTGTGCTTTTCACTTTTCGGCTCCCAGCGCAATTTTTGAAACTACGCCCATTTTCCTACAATTTGCGTCCACTGGTTTGAAACATCGACAAGTCAACCCGTTCTACACTGCATTCTCGTACAGAAGAATGCACACCCCCAAACCCCCGTTTTGGCAGTAGTCAGCAAAGATTGGTCCAGGGGCTTTACCAGCGGGCGCGTATGTGCAGACTCATCCAACCGTCTTACACAGCCGCGGCCATATTACGTCAGCTGTGACGTCACCGGCAGCATCTGCGCCGGTATTGCGGTCAACGGCGGGCGGCGCGCCAGCGGCAGCGTGGCGGTCGGAAACCGATTCTGGAGCGGGCGGCGGTCTCGGCACAGCCAGCGCAAGGCCACTTTTGTCTCGCCAGCCGTCGCAGCCGCCACACTAAATGGAGCGCGGGCGACGTGGAACCAAACAACGTCCGGCTGCTGACGACATACCTACTGTGATCACACAGACAGAAAACCGGTGCTAATGCTTTCAGTCGAATCTCAAAACTGGAGATCGCACGGAAGACATCCATGCCTTGCCCACCGAGGTCAAAGCGAAAGGCTTTGCGTGAAAGCGTGGATTTCGAAACATTACATGTGAAAAATTGAAGCTTTTAGATTAAATTACAAACTGGCACCACGTGCACTGTTGCTAAGTCTGCCTACTGAGTAAGAATCCCTAAAGATCCTTCATCCATGCGATCTCGATTCGTATCTCGGGGTTTCTTCTCGGGATCACTAACCGGGGTTTGACATTAGTAGCAGAGGCAAATATTTCAAAAAAATCAGGACGTCAATGCCATTTTAGGGTTTATTTTGGCGCAATACTGTAGGTCCAATCTTGAGGACGCAGCTGCACCCCCCCCCCCCCCCCCCCCCCCCAAGGAACATTAATGCTACACCCACCATCCGCAGCCCGCCTGAATTAACTCTTACTCAGATACTTCTGACTAGTTACTGCGACCCTTGGCCTTCATATTTTTGAAGCATAAATGCCACAAGAGCGGGATATAGCCATTAAACTATTAAGCGTGCGCGGATTGAATACTACATACGCCGCCTGCTATTGATATCTGTATCTGCTCTTATTTATTTCATTATTTTGACCAGACTTATTTTGACCAGTTACCTCAACTTTTAATTGTCTCTACGTTGTCGAATGCATTTCAACACTCACCAAAACTGTAGAGGTGTGGAAGCGTCCCGGTGCATCATTTTAACACACCCCTCCCTCACTCAAGCGCGAACACAAGATAACAGCTCTACAGAAAATTGTTAAGGATAACTACCTGCGATGGCTGTACCATTGGTATGACAATGGCAATGAACATGACATTTAACGATACACCGTTGCATGCTCCGAAAGCAAGGGCCCTTATTTGTGTCTTTGACATAAATGGTAAGCGGATCCGGTTGCTCCATGTGGTACGAAACATGCCTAAAAATAATTGTCGCTGGAAAAGAATTCCTTTGATATGATTACAAGCCCTGAACACAATTTGCAACTGAGGACTTTTGTAAGTCAGGGGCCTAACTTGTAGCCAAGTTTGAAATGCGCGAAAATAGAACAGGCCGAAGCTAAACCCATGGTTCATCGTCCGGGTTTTCAAAATAGCATAGCTTGCTTCTCTAGGCACGTGCTGTTGCATAATGATGCGTCCATTCGGTATTTCACGTTTGAGGTACAATATGATTGGGTTCCATGGGACCACATCCTCGAACGTGAGAGCAGATTGGATATGATGACGAACAAAAACACCTCCAAAAACACCCTTTTGCGATCGCTGTGGAAACGCTTGACTAATGTGACTACTACGATTGCAGGAAGTTCAGGATGAACTGTTCTGTTCAGATGAACAGCACTGCGGACGCGAGTTTGCTGACTGGCACTCCGCCTGACCGACGGAGACGCCTTCGGCTGTCACCCAGTTGCGAATGGACTGGAAGAGGATCAGTGAAGAGAACCAAGTAAAGACCAACCGAAGCTGCAGGATGGAAGGCCACTCAGTGCGGGCAAGCGCCTCCTTTTCCTGTCCTACGTGGAAGATATTAGGCAACTCCTTGCATCACTCAAATTATTGGCGAGGGGATGGCTTAACAGCTAATGGAGAGCAGTTACCGGTGGGCTGATAGGCTAAATGACCACTTTGTCTCCGTCAGCTCTCTTAGTGCGTGAGCTGAGCTGCGTTACGCTCCGAAAGGACATTTCCAGCTGCAACTGAGAGTGAATATGACATTTTGTGGTCCGGAGTGACATGTCATTTCGATTGGACAGGATTTAAAGCACTCATTTAGATTATGCCAAGTCAGTACAAAAATACATCTTAACATGGATTCAGGCTTGACGTAAGGCTTGTTTCAAAGCTTCAAGTTGTTGTTAGCATAAATATGCAAAATTTCTAGCTCTTTTTGACCTTACAAGAGGCTACCAAAATGACGGTACTTAAAAGCTGGATGGCAACACATACAGCAATGACTTGCTGAGCCAGTAAATCAGTGTTTTGCATATTAGCACGTGTCGTCAACGCACCATCTGCGTTTCCATTATGCATCTGTGCATTGCGTATTAAACTTGTCATTCCAACCATCTAAGGCCTTTCAACATACCTGAACCCAACATATTATGTCGCATGCACTCGTCATGTGCAAAGGACACGTGATGCCCCCGACGGCTCATGCTGCACACATATGATATGAATGATGCATGAATTACCAGTCGAATGCGTTAAATTATTGCCCGCAAGTAACGCCACTGTTGCCTGATAAGATGGCCGACGCAAACACTGTTGCTAGGAGCAAAGCTGAGAACAGCCACGCTCTTCGAGGTCATCTCAGAGGACTGCGGTGGCGCTAGCAAGGTTAGCATACATTATCGTTAACAAATCTACCGCTGTTTCTCGCTGATTTATCCTCATTCATCTTGCTGTCTGGATATGAGCTTGATAGGCAGTTTTGAAGCTGTTCTTCCGCTGGGGCCTTCAGCATAACGTGCTGTTAAGGCCAAAGTGCTCTGATTAGCAACGGGCAACGGGCTGATAAGCGAGGCAACTAAATAATGACGAGACCTGGAACGCATGTGAGGGGAGCAGCGATACAATCTTGTCTGCTCCATACGTGATGGCACGGGCAACTGTGAGATGACTATGTCATGAGGGTGACTTTTTATACTGTCATTGGCTTGTTCACTTTCAGGAGCATTTTACCAATATTTGATATACTGAGAAAGGCGTGGTAACAGAAATGCTCGAGGCATGGTGAGATATTTACCAGGCCTGAGCTGTGTGCACATTAATCGGGATCCAGCAGCTGGCGTTGATGGCGCAACCGTATCTATATAAACCGTGGCAAAAATGTCATTTTAGTACGAACTTCGACTGGGTGCATAGAGCACAGCCCATAGCTCAAACAAACTCGACCACACGATATTATAGTCATCTGAGCGTATGCTTTTTAGTGTTATGTAACCAGTTGTGTATTCGGAAAAGGTTGTCCACACGTAAAGTGGAGGAAATAGCTGAACCTAAGGCGAGTTATCTATTTTCATGTAATTTTAGCTCTGAATTACGTAACAATTGTTATTTTTGTACGTACGCCTTATTTATTTGCTAAGTCAGAACAAAGGACTTGCGCAAGGAAACGAGAAACTGTAGCGAAAAAAGTTTAACAAGGTTGAGATTGTTGTTGTTTTTATCTCATATATACATATATATATATATATAGTGTTATACTATATATAGTTATACCATATAGTCTTATACGATATATATCTGAGCCCTGCTCTCGTCCGCCGTCGGCGGCCACTGCCCAGGCCCGGCTGTCTCCCGCATGACTGACCGCGAACTGATCGTGTGGCTGCTCTGATGCATATTTCTGGATCAGCATTGCTACTTATTGGTGTGTAAAACATGTTGGATACGTGCAACAGCATCCTTTTTCCGAATTATCTTCCCTTAAACCGAAACCACCACAGAAAAAAGTCTTCGGGAAGCTGCCTGCCTTAGGTATGAACTGGTCTAACGAACATGTAATTGCACGTAATTTAACGAAGACGACTTTATCTGCTTTTGTGTGTAGGCAGGGGCGTAGCGAGGGCCTTGCTAAGGGGAGCACAGGGACGTCAAATATCCATCGTATGGTAACTCCAAAAATCCCCGAA